AACAAATAAATGCATAGGAATCGGACGAGAAATTTGTTGGAAATAGTGTTCGAAATGATTGCGTCGAGCACAAATTGCACGCTGCAGAAATAAATGCACCGTAAATCTTCTGTATAAACCCGAATTTTCAGAGATCGTTTAATAAAAACACGAACGGAGGAGAATTCAACATTGTTCGTCGATCGCGAGATTTTTCGTGAACAATATGTAACAAAATCGCTCCCTTGAATTTCCGAAATCTGCCACTTTCAATAACAAAGCGTTGATAAAGTGCTAAATATAACAGCGTCCAAAGCACCTCTGCGGATTCGTTGCTTTTATTCGCGAGAAACACGAGATATTTACATTCGCTTGTTTAAGCAGAAAAATGAGGAAAAAAGTGAGGAAAATTCTAAAAAAACAGGTATTTTCAGAGGTATCGCTTGAATCGGCGCAGTCTCCTCGATTAACACTAGAACGAGTCTTAAACACGATTGGCGTATATTGCAATATATTGCTCTATAGAATGCAATATATGTGTGTATATATATAATGCAATATATTGCTGTACAATAGTACTGCAATATATTGCTGTACAATAGTACTGCAATATATTGCTGTACAATAGTAATGCAATATATTGCTCTACAATAGTAATGCAATAATATTGCTCTACAATAGTAATGCAATATATTGCTGTACAATAGTAATGCAATATATTGCTCTACAATAGTAATGCAATAATATTGCTCTACAATAGTAATGCAATAATATTGCTCTACAATAGTAATGCAATATATTGCTGTACAATAGTAATGCAATATATTGCTCTACAATAGTAATGCAATAATATTGCTCTACAATAGTAATGCAATAATATTGCTCTACAATAGTAATGCAATATATTGCTGTACAATAGTAATGCAATATATTGCTCTACAATAGTAATGCAATAATATTGCTCTACAATAGTAATGCAATAATATTGCTCTACAATAGTAATGCAATATATTGCTGTACAATAGTAATGCAATATATTGCTCTACAATAGTAATGCAATAATATTGCTCTACAATAGTAATGCAATATATTGCTGTACAATAGTAATGCAATATATTGCTCTACAATAGTAATGCAATAATATTGCTCTACAATAGTAATGCAATAATATTGCTCTACAATAGTAATGCAATATATTGCTGTACAATAGTAATGCAATATATTGCTCTACAATAGTAATGCAATAATATTGCTCTACAATAGTAATGCAATAATATTGCTCTACAATAGTAATGCAATATATTGCTGTACAATAGTAATGCAATATATTGCTCTACAATAGTAATGCAATAATATTGCTCTACAATAGTAATGCAATAATATTGCTCTACAATAGTAATGCAATATATTGCTGTACAATAGTAATGCAATATATTGCTCTACAATAGTAATGCAATAATATTGCTCTACAATAGTAATGCAATAATATTGCTCTACAATAGTAATGCAATATATTGCTGTACAATAGTAATGCAATATATTGCTCTACAATAGTAATGCAATAATATTGCTCTACAATAGTAATGCAATAATATTGCTCTACAATAGTAATGCAATATATTGCTGTACAATAGTAATGCAATATATTGCTCTACAATAGTAATGCAATAATATTGCTCTACAATAGTAATGCAATAATATTGCTCTACAATAGTAATGCAATATATTGCTGTACAATAGTAATGCAATATATTGCTCTACAATAGTAATGCAATAATATTGCTCTACAATAGTAATGCAATAATATTGCTCTACAATAGTAATGCAATATATTGCTGTACAATAGTAATGCAATATATTGCTCTACAATAGTAATGCAATAATATTGCTCTACAATAGTAATGCAATAATATTGCTCTACAATAGTAATGCAATATATTGCTGTACAATAGTAATGCAATATATTGCTCTACAATAGTAATGCAATAATATTGCTCTACAATAGTAATGCAATAATATTGCTCTACAATAGTAATGCAATATATTGCTCTATAGTAATGACAAGATTAGGTCAAATTAAACTTCGTATCATTTCCATGAAAACATACGCTTCGATGCCTCAGATTATCTAAACAATTTCTCCTAAAGAAACGCTTTCAAAACGTCGGAAAACAAAGAAGAAAAGATCAGAAACCATTGTATAATACATTTCGACTGGTTTGGAACGCTGGTTCCAGCGTTTAAAAAAAAACAGCATTCCGATACCGTTCGAAATCTAAATCAGCGTTCCCCGGTTCTCCCGATAAATAATTTCGGCACCGTTCCGGAAGACGGTCGATGAAAAACCGTGTGCAGTGCACCGTAAAAATCGGTGAACATCGTTTCGCCATTTTCCCCGGCCCGGAATAAATCGGTATCGGGGATTTCGATAAAGCGGCCCATAAAAATGCGAGTTTCCACGAAGATCCGGCGATAACGTAACAATATGGGAAAACGTAGGCGCCGCTGTCCGCGGCCGAGCCCCGGCTGAAACCGTAAGTGAAAAATTATAGAGGCCGATACGGGAGCGCGGGCCGCGAAGGATCACGCGATTAAAAATCGCGGAAAAGAGAGGAGAACGTTCGCCCGGCCGGCGAACGAAAGAAAAACGAAAGTTCGCCGGGCGGTGCGAACGTCGCGTGACTTGTCGTTGTAAGTTTACGTCGCGGTTACCATTTCTCTCTATACGGGAACGCGGTTTATGGGGGATATTATCGTTCTAATACCCCGCGGAGCCGGCTGCCAAGGGACTCCTGGAATCTTCGAGGATCTCCTCTCCTCGGTGTTTCGCCGAGGCCGGGGCCACAAATTTCGCGTCTGCTCTTCGGCCTCGGCCCACGGAGGACGGCAGAAACCGACCTGCTATATGCTTACGATCGTTTTTACCCCGAGCCCTAATACACACCGGAGCTCTTTCGAAACAGAATCCTCTCTAGTTTATCGGCTGTTGTCCCGTCGTGGCCGGGATTATCATGCCGGCTCGGAAAAATCCTACCGTGGGCGGTCATGCTAAACCTTGAAATGATACGTGTTTCTACCGGCTTCGCTATAGTTCGCGGAAATTCGTGTCCCTTCGTTCACCGGTTTCCGCGAACGAGTGTTCGCTCGTTTAACAATCTCTCGTCTTATCGTCGCGTCGATTACTCGATCGCGGATTTGATGCGTTTCTGATAGAAATCAGTGGCTGGATCTCGCGCATATTGGGAATATAATAGCATAAGGGGCGATTCCTTGATTGTATTTTCCCTTGACATTGTTATGGGACACCCTGTAGAACGGTAGAAGTGATCGAAGAATTTCAATGTTTGCATTTCTTCGTTTTATATTTATGTCACGGATTAATAACTACATTTAGAAATCAAGCTTCGTTGATGTGGCATAATAATTATTCATCGTTAGGACATTGTTATAACGAACTTTCTGTTATGTTAATTGAGTTCCGATCTGGCGGAAATCAGTGCAACGGGATTAAACGTCGCATATGAAATTCAACTTTCCATTAACATAATGGAACACGTTGAACTTTATCTTCATAAATCTCATAAATCTCATCAATTTCATAAATTTCATAAATTTCATAAATCTCATCAATTTCATAAATTCATTACTTCCAGACCGAAATAAAATTGAATCCCCTTCGATTATCAAAATCTAGGAAAAGAAAGACTGAACGAAAACGTGCAATGAACAAAAATCGTCCGACTCGTTGAAAGTTCCCACAAAAGTCTCGACAGAAAGGTTCGCAGAAAAGACTCAATTGCTCCATGAAAATCACTTTTAAACACCTCTTCAGAGTCGCCGAAATTTGCTTTTTCATACAAAAACCATTATTGTGCAACATCTTATAAAATAAATCAACAACAAAATGTAACAAACCGGTACAACAAATGATCGACGACGACTCTCCCCGAAATCGTTCGAACACCGCGCGCCTATTCTAAATGGACAATAACGGTTAGGCGTACGTAGACGTTGTACAATGGTATTGGATTCGTGTTCGGTCACGTTCGGTCGGAAATAATAATCCGGAAAGATAGCGGGACGCGATGCGGCGCGGCGGCGACGCGGTAGAAAAATCTAGCGCGAAAAACCGGACTACGAACAATGACACCGTCGCGTTTTGCTCGTCGCTCGTGGCTCCGTGATACATACCCGGTAATAAGAGAAAGAGAATCACGATTTAATGCGTTCGGCACTGCAGGCACGAGTACGCAATTACTATGGAAACGCGAGTTCGAAACGTGATATTACCGGAAGACATTTCATGCCGCGTCGTACAGGTAATACTAGCCTTGCGGTCTCACCGCGAATCTGCAGAAAAATCCTGATCCCAAGATTGATCAATCCCCCACCCCCGTCGCCTTTCAACGGACAGAAATTAGGATACCGAACGGGATACTGGACGTCGGATTCTTCGTCTGTTTTATCTTCTTTTTTTCGCCCCCGCCGCGTTAACGCGTCTTCGCGCGGCGACGTGTTTCGGAATGATTAGAACGTCGCCGTCGAAGGCGGTTCGCGATTTTTCGCACGTATCTTCGGCGTTTATTGTTGCTCTCCGGGGTGCTGTTCCGAGCGGAGTGTAGTTGTGTATAGAAAATTGAGGCGTGGCGCTTCTCCGCGGAGGAACGATCGCGCGCAATAATTTACAACGCCGGCCGCGGATAATATTCTCGACAATACGATTTCCGTTCCGCGACGATCGCCTCGTTCGCGTATAAATAAACGAATAGAATCGAAAGTTTCGACGAACGTCGAAATGCGACCAGCATTTCGAAATTTCCCCGTTCGCTGGTCGAGCCACCGGGCACATAATTGTCACATCTTTCCGGTTCCAGAGAGAGAAAGAGAGAGAGAGAGAGTGCTACCGAGTCCGATAATAAGTTCGACGAACGTATTGTACCGCGAGTCGACCGTCGCGTCGCACAATTAAATATACGGAGACAATTGAATTAAAGTCGGCTGCGTCGTAGTTGAAAACTCACCGAAATATGATTACGCGGAGCGGCAGCTGAATCGTGTATTCCAGGCGATCTCTCTGCGTTCACAACCCGCGGAATAAGACACTGTGTTACACATGCACTGTCCGTTGACCCTTCTCGGTTGAACCTGCAAAACGCGTGAAATGATTAGAGAAACGTATGAAACACATTTTCCTAATATGGTTAATATTATCGAGAATATAATAAGAGAAGAGGGGAGAACATATTAACCCTTTGCATCCGATGTAGAATTAACGAAAAATTTGAAATAGCTTTTCTGACCCACGGTTTTTCCATTTTATATGACCTAAAATGCATTTTATGCGTATGAAATTGAATATCGTGACCCGTCCAACAGTTACGCTTTCACAAGGTCTTTAAATATAAACAAATTTGATTAAGAAAATTATTTTCAGACGCGACGTAATGATTTTTAATGGCGCTTCGAACTCGCCACTCGAGTGCAGAGGGTTGATATTATCGAGAATATAATAAGAGAAGGGAAGAGAATATATTAACCCTTTGCGCCCGATGTAGAATTAACGTAAAATTTGAAATAGCTTTTCTGACCCACGGTTTTTCCATTTTATATGACCTAAAATGCATTTTATGCGTATGAAATTGAATATCGTGACCCGTCCAACAGTTACGCTTTCACAAGGTCTTTAAATATAAACAAATTTGATTAAGAAAATTATTTTCAGACGCGACGTAATGATTTTTAATGGCGCTTCGAACTCGCCACTCGAGTGCAGAGGGTTGATATTATCGAGAATATAATAAGAGAAGGGAAGAGAATATATTAACCCTTTGCGCCCGATGTAGAATTAACGTAAAATTTGAAATAGCTTTTCTGACCCACGGTTTTTCCATTTTATATGACCTAAAGTGCATTTTATGCGTATGAAATTGAATATCGTGACCCGTGCAACAGTTACGCTTTCACAAGATCTTTAAATACAAACAAATTTGATTAAGAAAATTATTTTCAGACACGACGTAACAATTGTTAATGGCGCTTCGGACTCGAGTGCAAAGGATTGATATTATCAAGAATATAATAAGAGAATTCTTGCTCTTAATACCATAACTAGACCGCGGATTTTTAATGCGAACTCCCCTGCATCGATTGCAAGACAACTATAATATTCTTAAATAATTTCAATAAATTCAGATTAATCAACATTCATCCGCTGTCTAATTATAACATAAATCTTGTCGACAATGTATATAACGATCGTCGGAAAAAATCGATAATAATTCAAACAGTCAAAGCGTAACCTTGTAAAAATCGTCCACATTCGCTTAATACTTATGCTAATTTTAACACAAATCTTGTCGACAATGTACAACGATCGTCGGGAAGAATCGATAATAATTTAAACAGTCAAAGCGTGACCATGTAAAAATCCGCTTAATACTTATTCAACATCCATTTATCTTAGGTACAATAAAAAGCGAACACCGTAAGAAGCTTTTACGCTATAAAATTGGAAAACCCGATGCAAAAAGGGACAAAGCAGATATCGCAGTTCGCCTTGTAATTTAATAATCAACCCGCAAGGCTCGTTCACGCTCCCGCCCCGAAGACGTTAATTAGTCGTTAATTAAAATCAGCATCGAAGCAGAAAAGCTCGCGGACGGAGGGAGGAGGGAAGGAAGAAGGAAAAACAAAGATGAGACTGGCAAGAGTTTAACGAGTCCCGAGTTCGATCCGTTCGGCTAATTCCGAGGAAACAACGCGGTGACCATTTCAGAAAAATCCCGGTCGCGCACCCAGTTTACGGCGTGGACGGAAACGGAGAATCGAGGCCAGGAATATGACTTCCATTAGTCGATCGGGGGACGGTCGTGTAACGATCCGGCGAACGATCCGCGCGTTTTACCGAGCGCAAAAGCAAATTGCTCCAGTTCGGTGGCATCCGCGTCCGCGTATAACCCCGCTGGCTTGTCAATAAATGATTTCGCCGAGTCCGCGCTAATCGTTACAGCGGAGTCTCCTAGGGGTCGTTGCACTAGAAACTTCGCCGACCCGCGGGGAGCAGCGCGCCTTAGTTTCGTCTGGACACACTCGCGGGCCGGCTTGCTTGACCCTACTTTGCATCACGTGCCAAGCCGTGAGTGGGATCAGGTACCATTTATCCACTCGAACCGGTTGCGCGATGCTGTAATTCAAACCGTTTCGAGGGCTACCCATTGTGTTGGCAGAGAGAGAGAGAGAGAGAGAGAGAGAGAGAGAGAGAGAGAGAGAGAGAGAGAGAGAGAGATATCAGTGTCGCTTTGACGTTCCCGTAAATAGTTGCCCGTGTTGTTGTTCGCGAAAGGATCCCGGCAAAAATCAAGTCGGGGAACCTGATTTGCCTGACAATGGGGGACGAATCAAGTGCCTGCGAAATGGCAAATCGTCCCGCAGAATTTATACCGTCGACCGTAAAACCCGGCGGAGCGACGACGATCGCGCGCTCCCCGAAAAACGGCACTTCGGATTTTTGCTGCGCCACCAATAACGGTGTCGTTCGGGTTTTTCGACGTGTTCGCGGCTGAGATCGTCTATTTCGACGATTCGACCAGTCGAATCGTTAGGAATCATCCTCCGGTAGGGGAACACGCTGCGAATACGTTATTTGAATTTATCGATGAATATTATAATAAGAAGTAGGTAGTAAGTATATTTAATATAATAATAAAAGTGATAATAAAATGATATATATAGTAGAAAGTATATATAAGTATGATAAATGAGATATAAATATATGTAATATACTTATATAGTATAATAGTATAAGTATAAGTATAATAAATAAAATATAAGTATACATATAAAATATAATAAGTATATTATATGTATATAATAATAAGTATAAAAAACTATTTCCTCTGAAATGACGTTGACTCGAACTACAGACCTTGTATTTTTATTGAGAGATTTCACTTGTTCACGTCCAAAAAGGAGCTTGAATAAAAATCGCTACCTTTGCACACCTTAAATACAATCTAAATCCATACTCTCACATTGCATGCTAAAATAATTTCAATGAAACTTTCATATTTCCTCTGAAATAAACTGAAATAAAATCCATGCTTGCGCACCGCGTCTAAAATAACCCCCGTCGCGTCTAAAATAAAATCGATACATTATAAATGACGCCTAAAAGAAATAAAAATCCCTGCTCTTCGATTTTACCATATCATCTTTGCGTACATATGTATATATGTATACATACATATATAGTATATATAATGCCGGCGAGCGAGCGATTATTTTATCCGCGTGTTCGTTTCGCGACTCGGATTCGATCGGGCTGGCGAAAGAAACGCTATGAAAAAAAAAAATCGCGTCCGTCTCGAACCCGCGTCGGAATACACGTACATTCCGCTCGCCTGTTCGCAACATCGTAATTCAAGCGGCAACAGAGGATATCCATTGTCGGCGGAGAAAGATATCAGTGACAGCGAGTTTAGGTACTTAGTCGCGAGTCGCGTATCAAAAGGGGGGAAGCCATTCGGAGGCCCGGCGATGGGTATTGTCCGTAAACGTGCCTTTTGTATTCCAATTGAACCTCGAATGGATCATCTGCGCCGCGGGAAAAGTACGTCGCATTCCGCGGATCCTTTTGTTTAACGGATACGAGGCGCGCAGACCGAGAGGGCGGGCGGACGGGCGGGCGGAGGAGGAAAAAAGGATCCACTCGGCATCTCTGACAAATGCGAAACGCATCCTGGACCTTTGAACGAGCGGGAGAGAAACTTCCGCGAGCGTATCTATCGAATTACCAGGGGAAACCCGTTTGTCGCTGCAAAATGTCGGGCAAAATTCGCGGATATTTCGTATTTCGCGACCGAGATGTATTCGATCGACGACAACGCGGTATGTACAGTAATGTTTCTCTAACTGACGCTTAAATTGTGCAGAAAAATGGACAATTTGGGAAGAGGAGATACGATTATTCGGCTTTGCACCATGTTTTTGTAATCGTTGACAATCGGTAACTATAAAAACGAGTCGCAAGGCTCGAATTCGCAAAGCCCCTCTTCCCAGATTGTCCATTTTTGTGGACAATCTGAGCGTCAATTCGAGAGACATTACTGTACTTCGAGGCGACTTTAAACGCAAACATCAGATGTCCCTTCGGCGAATATTATTTCTATATTATTCTACAATAATACTATTATACAGTATTATATATATAATATTATATATATTATATATATAATACTATAATACTACAATATATATATATTCCTAATATTCCTAATATTCCTAATATTCCTAATATTACTAATATTCCTAATATTCCTAATATTTCTAATATTCCTAATATTCCTAATATTCCTAATATTCCTAATATTCCTATATATTCCTAACTAACTATATATATTCTACAATAATAAAAAAGAAATACTAATAATATATAATATACGCATAATATAATACTAATCAATTGTTCCTCCTTTTTTAACTTCAATACGATTCTAATTTTATTAAGAATTCACAAAACCTAAGAACATTGAGAAGGCGATTAAAACGTCGTAGAACCTTCCTTCGCGATTCAAACGTGATTAAATAAAATCGTCGAATTTTATAAAATTGTCGAGGCTGTTGGACGGCTATAGTCGAAGCGTCAAGGGAATACAAAATAGCCTGAACACCTAATCTTCCTAAATCGAGTACGAAATACGAACGAACGAACGAAGCACGGTTCTCTTCTTTCCCCGTAATAATTCCGTAAGAGGAACAGAAAAATGGTACTCGTTATACGCGTCCGCGTCTCCTTTAAAGCTTAAACGCGGCCGGCAATGGAACGGAATTTACCGTCGACTCGAAAGAAAGGAATAATTTGTCTTAAATATAGAACGGATTATCCTCTATGCCGGACGAATACGGAATATTCTTGGATCCCCGGGCGGACGTACGCTTTGCGAGCCGAATGCAAAATATTCTGCGGAAGGGCTGCGCTCCGAATTTCCGTATGCGAGAATCGCGTATCGAGACGGTTCTGAATATGCGAAAAAAAAGAAAATTTACAAGAAAAGAGGAAAGGACATATTAACGCGACAGAGGCGGCACCGGCAAAAACCAGGAACCGAGAATATTAGAAACTCCAGCGGAACTTAATATGTGCTCCG